CCGGGGGGGGGTTGTTAGGGGGTGTGGGGGGTTAGGGGGTCTTGGGTGGTTAGGGTGTAGTGCTTCAGGGGTTAGGGGGCAAGGGTGTCAACGTGTAAATAAACCTTCGACACCCCTGAGGAAAAAAACATGTGGATCCCCAATTCACACAGTGCCACGCAACATACCCCAACGCCCCGCAAAAAAAAATAAAAAAAAAACCGTTACACATCATTGGCAAACAAGGTGAAAACCTTACATTATTTTTCAAGTCACATCAGAGCATGCATTGAGTCATTCATCATTTACAGAGTCCAAGCAAGCAATGTCGGGCGTACAATGGGAAACACAACTCAGTATGGAGTCGCTCGCAAAGACAATGTTGTGAAAACCAAATGTCGGAATAAGAAGCATGGTCATCCAAAAGCAACACCTGGAAGGTCAGGTAAAAAACATGAAACAAACCTCTCTCTCTCTCTCTCTCTCTCTCTCTCTCTCTCTCTCTCTCTCTCTCTCTCTCATCATGTGTTGTCCAATGTCTATGGCCTGTGTCACCAAAACACCACAGTACACCCTGCCTACCTGCAACTCAATATGTACGCAAAGCAGTGCATCTAACTGGAAATCAGAAGTCGTAATTACAAGAAGGAAAACCGCTACATGTAAAATACAGACTAAAACAAAGTCGAGAATATACAAACAACTAATCGTCGTCGTCAACGACATCCACCCTCGTCCTCGTCCTCGTCCGAGGAGCAACTGCACCGTCACCCACATGCCCAGTCTGGTCGGACGCTGCACGAGCGACCTCCTGTGCCCGTACAACTCTCTCTCTCTCTCTCTCTCGTCCACCTCCGTCGTGACCATGTCTCTGAGCAGAATGCCATGGACATCCTCCCTCCTCCGCTGTCCCTTAGGGATCTCCAAATCGTCAGTCCCAGAGGATTGCGGGCCTGAAGCAAACGCAATAGGGCGTGGTCTCCTGTCCCTAACGTCCTAGTCTAAGATGCGGCCCGCCGTTGCTCTGTCTGGGGGGCGTGTCGAAGGCGGATCCAAAGTCGTCGAAGTGGTCAACGCGCGTCCATCCACCCTCGTCCCCGTCCGCTGTGTCGGTGCACCTGTCACGCGGGCGTTGCGCTGTGTCGAAGGACCGGCCCCGGTACTGTCCAAACGCGATCCACCATCCATCCCCGCCGATCTGCCGCAAGAGGATCATCTCTCTCATCGCACTCCAAAACTGCAGCGGACATGGCGCCACCTAAAGGCAACACACGAATACCGTCCACAAGCGCGTCAGGGCGGCCGACAACCGCCGAATCGGTTGGCTGCTCGCCACGTCCATCATCTGCACACCGCTGCATTTCTGCAGCAGACACACGGCCTCCTCCTGCATCCGCCTAATCCCCTCCACCGGTGGTCTGTCTGTCCTCCGCCCCTGCATCATGTTGACTAACTGCATTTGATCCTCCGCGAGGTGCATCTCCTCCATCAACAACCCCATCACCACCTCCCTCCGCATCGTCATCCTCACCGCGAATGGGGTGGAGTCCCGGTTTGCAACCTACGCCATCATCCTGTGCGGGCCGGGGGGCGCCCCCCTTCTCAACCTCCTCAACACCATGCGTCCCCTCCCCCGCACCGCAGGTGTCGCGAAGATCCATCGCGGCGACGGGTGCGATGCCCGTCTCAAGGGCGCGAGCAGCATCCAAACTTGCTCTAATGTCCTGTGTCACAGGGCAGGACTTAGCAAGCGCCAACGCTCGCTCTCTCTCCTCTCGGTCCCTCCTATCCACATCCGACTGAACATCCATATCCTGCAGGTGTGGGAAATGGACAGCATCCCCCGTGCTCCGCACGGGCCGACTGGACGTACCCTCCATCCCCTGAGCCGCCTCCATCAACAAACTGCTCGAGATATCGCCGTCAGTATCCAATCCTCGTACAACCTGGCTGATAGGTGTTTTGCCCGCGGCAACCGGGGTCTGTCCAACATCAACGACGGTCGGTGGAGGTCCCATCGACATGCCCAGAAAATCTGACAACGAGCCAGTCGCGGCGGGTAAATCCACTGCAGTGGCTGAAAGGCCGCGGCCAGCCTCGGATCTCCCTCTCTGAGGCGAAACTGCAATCTTTCCCCTGGATCCTCAATCTCCTCCTCCCCTGCCCGACCCCCCCGCACCACGAACCCTCTCCTCCGCCAATCTAAGTGAACGTCGCTGACCCTGCTGCCCCTCAGCAGTAATGTCTCGAGGACCGTCATCACCTCGTGCTGCGGTGCCCTCCGCACCCCCGCCAAAATCCATATCGTCGTCAGACTCGCTTCTGCCCTCATACCATCTGCCATCGTCATCGCTGTCCGAGTCGATCGACGCGTGCTGTCGCTGTGGAAAGGACGGGCTAACCACCGCATGTCCAGGCGCAGCACTATCTCGCCGGCAAGGCGAAAGACGAGGACGGGTCGTGGTCGACTCAAGCGTCTGACGCCGCAACCGTGTCAGGGGGGCATCATCATCGGATGACCGTCCCGACTTCGCATCCAGGTCATCGGGATCAGACCACGGCTACTCCTCAATCTCATCCTGTGCAAGAGGGTCAGGCTCTGGGTCGTACACAGACTCCTCATGTGGCAGAAGAATGGTCGCTTGCCTGCCAAAGTATCTCTCTACGCTCGCAGGTTGTCGAGTGAGGGAATCCTTCCACCCCTTCCGCAACTGTCTGTGCAGCTGCTCCTCAGTAACCTTGTCCGCGGGGCGGACTCCTGAGTCACGGGGCTCCGGTCTCTCCTCCTCCGCGACGACGTCCTCGTTCTCCCATGGTAGGACATACCCCACACCCCTCGTGTGGCATCGAAGCAGTCTCATGTTGGTGGATATCTCCACCAAACGAGTGAGCTTGGTAAAACCAAGCTTGTTTCGCCGCTTCACCTGAACGCGCTCGTGGACAGCCCAGTTCCTCTCCGCAGGAGAGGCACATGTCCACGTGTGCATCAGGCGAACAACGATATTCTGCAACAAAGGCACCCCGTCCCCCCACTGCACCCACCATTGAGCAACCGCCGATGTCTCCTTCTCCCCCCTGCAAGTCTTCGCATCTCGGTCCCCGTCACGACCGCCATATGCACAATCGCCCTCTCAGCTGTGGAACTCCCTCAAAGCTGTCCTCAAATCCTGATACAACTGCCTGTCCGATCCCGCCTGCTGTCGAATGTAAATGTCTGACTCCTCTGTCGACTCCCTCTGTTGATCTGTCCTCCGCGCCCCCTCAAAGTAAGCAATACTCCTGTAGCACGGGTTGAGGAGGTGGGCTATGCAATGAGCAGGCTCCAACATATGCCTCCTCCGCGTCTGCAAACCTCTAACAAGCGCGTCCAACTCTGCTCGACTGGTGCGTCTGGTGGGCGCCTGAGCAACCCTCTGGATGACCCTCTCCGACCATGACCACAAGCGTGACATCACGCACCCCCCACGGTCGAGTCTGCGCAGTCCATTTTGGTTCTTACCATACACCACTTCTACCCACTCCATTTTGAACCGTGTGTTTTCTCCCACTATTTGGCTCTGGTGACCAATCCTATGCATCCCAGTCCACTCCCCTGTTAAGAATATTCTTCCTTAGAATTGTGCATATACAGGTGAGTAGGTCGTCCGTTCACCAAATATTACTAGGCTTAATTTTTAGTTGTTGGGTGTCCAAAAGTAAGTTGTGTGTGAGTCATTACAGCCCTGCTTCTTGCCATCGGGTAGAAGCCACCAGCCTTCCGTCTTAGTACCCCAGTTCACGTTCATGTCTGCGGCAATCTCGAATAGGTGAATGGTATGCTCCAGTGCTATGAGGCTCTGATCATTGGCTCTGAAGAGGACTGTGAGGTCATCCGCGAACAGCGAAGTCCGCCGTTCCCTGAGAAGACTGCGGTGTGTCAGATTGGGCTTCCTCCATGAGGGAGTCCTTATTATGAGTGGGATCGGCCTCCTTGTGTGGACTGGTTATCTATTTCATTATTTTTTTTTTTTTAATTTGAGCCGTCCCCTGAGTTGAATCCTCTTCAACCATCCCCACAATTTTCTCAAATTCTGAATCTGATTCCTCCCCCCTGGGTTGTACTGCGTTTACTTCCTTTTCTCCCAGTTGCAGATAATCTGCAGGTTGTGCACCCGGAAGTGCAGACTCCCTCCCCTTAACTCCCGTTTTCCTTTGATATACCGATTTTCATTGTTGTTGACTCACTGGAACCTCGCCTTTATCCCTGGGTCCTACAGCATCCATCCCAGTAGATTGAGAGGACTGTTCCTTCCACCTTGCAGTTGAGATCTCTCGAGCACCAGAAGAGGAAGCCTGTGTGCTACCATGTTGAGCAAGTTGTGCTGAGTGTGCAGACGGTGCTGACTGTGCTGACTGTGCTGACTATGCAGTGGTCATGGGTATTTTAACTGTTAACTCAGGGGGTATCCAAGAGTCAGGGGGCTTGGTGTCCCCATTGGGATCCCCCTCACGCTCCCATATCCATCCTTTAGGAGCTTCCGCCTTCTTGGCACTCTCCACATAAACCCATCCCTCGTGCCGAACATCTACCGTCCGCCATAGGTTAATTTTGAAAGAATCTCGAATAAGTCTGCCTGTTGCACGATTCTTCCTTCCAGGATTTTGTGCACAGTTAGGATCTGTACTCAAGTGTCCTTAAGCCTTACACCTGAAACACCACGGCCTCATTTTATGAGCCGTGTGACTGCGGTACTCTCTACCCCCTACCCTGTATGGGATAACGTCATCCGAATTGAAAGGTACACTGGTTGGGTGGTTGAGGGCCAACATTAGGTAATCGTCCCTTCTAGCCACATAAGCAGGGAGGGGGTCTATAAAATCCACAATGTCGTGATTTACGGTCATTTACCCCAAAATCATAAATAAAAGCAGCTTGGATTTCTATTGGGATGTGTCTGAATTCAACCCAATAGAAATCCTCCATCATTTGAATCCTCTTTTCATCTGGTCCCTGTTTAGGCGGCGTCCAAGGGTAGATCCGAACCTCAGATCTATCACATCTTAATTTTTTCCAAGACTCAATCATTTTTTTATCAGTCGTGTGCAAACACAAAATCGTAAACATCTACAACGTCATTTGATCCGTATGTGTGCTGCACCGGACGTATGTGGGGTGCCAAACTAGCACCAACTAATCGAGTGCAGGGGAGGTTGGGGGCCAACAGAATTGAACCCACAACCTCCCCATTGCAACCCCAGAGCTTCAGCCACTTAGTTACCAGACATCTCGCCCTTTCATTCTTTGGCTCACTCCCTCACGAGATCCCTCCCTTCCACCTCTTGATGTTCCCTGGGGCACCCTCACCCCCCTCCATCCTACCTCGCTCAAGGACCATCACTGGCAAAAAGCTCTCTCTACAAGCCCTCTATCCCGGTGGTGGTGAGTGAACAACCAGGATTGAGGGCTTGGTCACCATCCCTCTCTACTGGATCAACCTGTAAGGTTACATGGTAGCACATGACCAAATACAGTGAGTAGTACTAAGTACCATGCAGCCCACAGAAACATGTACCGGCTCACTTTGGGTTCAGGGAGAAAAGCGCTGCGTCGCGAACGAAGCGGCAAGTCCACCCGTTAGCGCGACGACGAAGGGCAGCCCCCGGCGCTGTTTTGGCGTCTGGGGACAGCCCCTCGGGCGATTGACCCTGTCCCTGCCTCGATGAGGGAGCAGCGGCCATAGCCGGACGTGGACAGGGGAACTCGAGCAGCCGGCGTCAGGTGAAGTGACGACCTCATAGCCAGGGAGACGCGAGTGGCCGACAGCAAGTGAAGCAACGACCGCTGACATCAACGGAGGCGGGCGGAAAAGGAGCTGGCTACAGGAGCATGAGCAGAGCGCAAGCAGGCAGGAGCGGCGCCGGGAAAAGAGCGGAGAAGGAAAGAGTGGAGGGAAGGGGTGCGTTCAAAGAACTTGGGGGAACGAGCTTGCAGATCTGCGCACAGCCGGGGCAAGGAATAGCATCACATGAGCTATCCCAAGAAGAAGTGATCGAGCAAAGACCAAGAAGAAGTGATCGAGCAAAGACCGAAGGGAGTAAATCGAGAACAAACGACGGGAAGGAAATGAAGAATGATTGCATGCGAGTGTAGGACGGGGTTTTTTGGATTATGGAAGAGGGAGATAAAACGCTATCTCGTTCTTGGAAGGAACAGTAGGGGAAAGGGCTGGTGGTTGCAAGCGGGCTTGAGACGGAGCTTTTTGGATTAAGGAAGAAGGAAAAGAGACACATCCGGTTCTTGGAAGGAGTAACGCAAAGCGAAGGGAAGACTAAGCAGGGAAGCAGCGAAGCTCTGCGCTATGGCCCCTATACCTTTGGGGCCCCGGGGAAATCTCCCCGGTGAAAGAAGGGGACCATCCCAGAGGTGAGTCCGATTCAATTGATCCCCCCCGATACCAGCCTTTCCTTGCC